GAGAGGAGAGGAGAGGAGAGGAGAGGAGAGGAGAGGAGAAGGGAGGGGAGGGGAGGGGAGGGGAAGGGAGGGGAGGGGAAGAGAAGAGAAGAGAAGAGAAGAGAAGAGAAGAGAAGAGACGAGACGAGACGAGACGAGACGAGACGAGACGAGACGAGAGGAGATGAGAGAAGAGTACTCATTCCATCATTTAAATTGTTTGCAGACTACCTGCCCTGGGGCAAATGTAACACTAACATCCATAATCCCAACACTGAACCACAGATCAATCACAAACTCCAGACTCAGCTGGCTCTTAAAAGCCCAACCCTGAGCTGGCCAGATAGCTCAGTGGTTTAAAGCACTTGCTTAGTTAGGCAGAGGCAGAGACTGTGTGGGTCCCCAACCACCACCCATTCCTGTGTGCTGAGATTGCAAATGAGACTGGGTGTGGTGATACATGCCTATAATCCCAGTGCTTGGGAGGCTGAAAAACAGGAAGGAATCCAATGAGTCTGATCTGTGTAGTGAGACCATTTAGACCCTGTACTAAATACATTAAAAACAAGTAGCCCAAACTCTATGACTGTAAGAGGCTTTGGGGGGGCATTTGGACACAAACCACAAGTGAGGCAGCTCACGTTACAAATAATAGGTAAATCTGGTTATATGCAGTTATAGAAAGTAATAGTATATTTTTCAGTAATTCCATGTGTGTTGGGGAAATCTTCATATTAATGTTTATGGCGTTCATTTTTACTCATTTTCTATAGAACTGTCCTAATTACTGAATATTTTACCATCTTTCATAGGGCCTTTTTCACTGCATGACACACCATGTTGAACTTTGGCTATGAATTTAACTGTCTAATTCATTTTAAGACAGCAAAATCATCTCGTTTGTATTTGATATACATAAAAGTTAGTCTCCATGGATAGAAAACATACCGATTGAGAATAAAATATAAGTATTTTGCATACACAAATTGCTATTAAAGATATAAAATAGAGTGAGGAACTTAATTTAAATATATTTATTTAAATTAAATAGCCACATGTGACTATTGTTGCTAAAATGTAATGGCTTAAAATAATATACATCTATATAGTTCTGGAGACTAAAAGTCCAACGTGGGCCTACAGAGCTGAAATGAAGGTATTGGCAGAGCTGCATTCTTTCTAGAGACTCCAGCATGGAATCGGTTCCTTTTCTTTCCCATCTTCTGGTGGCTTCACTTGTGGCTATATCATTCTTCCTTATCATCTGCTGAATTTGGCACGTGGGCTTCAGTTTGCCCAACTTGACTATAATGACAGTACTTTTATCAGAAATAGGCCTTGAGTAGAAGAAGCTTGCTTGTGGTTAAGGCAGAGGTGGGGCTTTATTGAATTTTGAAGTGCTAAGGCTGAGACACTGCCATGATCCCCATGGGAAAGTATCCAACAGCCAATGTGGAAAAAGCAGGTGGAGCCTGGAAGAAAAATTTAGATTAGATTAGCACTATGCATTTTGGATTCATCTTCATAGATAATCATGCTAGCTTTACTAGTAATTTGCATAGTATGTTTAACAGATATGAAGGTATGGTTATGGATTTCACCATTCAAAGAGCATAGGTAGCGTCCACAAGTGTATCATTTAAAGAGAACTGTGGCTTGAAAGTAGCAAAGAAAGAATCGTGACACCCTTCCCAATGTCGTTAATGAGTGTCCTCTTTGAAAACCACAAATAAAGAGTTAATCTTCTTCTTCTCCTGCATCTTCTATACTTCTGGTAACCTAAGCTAGAACCATGGAAATTCTTAGAAATTCCTCATTTTCCCTTAGCACAACCTTTTCCTGAATGAATCTGATTCATCTTATTTTTTTTTTAATGTCTCAAAGTTAATCTTTCTTCTTCATTGTTTTAGAACTTCATCTGATCTTGCCTGAATTGCTATAATCTCCATTTGAACTTTTCTCCCAATCTTTAATCTTACCCTGTACTGAAAGTAATATCTTATTATTATAATCTATTAATCTCTGCTCTAATTAATCTATCTCTAATCTATTAATCTCTTCCTCTTGTATATTTTCTATGCCATATATATATATATATATATATATATCACTGATTTCAGAGATGCACTTGAAGAATTGGTGCTTTCCTTCCATTTGGGGCTAGACAGTGTAAAGGACTTAGTGTTAAGAGGGAGAAAATTGTGTGATGTTTCTGTGAACTTCACACCTAGGGAGGCTCCAGTCACTTGTGCCTCTTTTTTAGCAAGATTTTCATGAGGCAAGAAGCAATGCTATTTGTTTATTTATTTTTTTTTGGGGGGGGGGGAACCAGGGATTGAACTCAGGCTCTTGCACTTGCCAGGCAAATGCTTATTCTACTGAACCATCTCCCCAGCCCCCAGCAATGCTATTATTGCAAGTGTAATTCATTGTCATGATCAGGTGATAGTTGAGGTGGTTGTTTTTAATTGGGGAAAGTAAAGAATATATTTGGCACTCGCAAGATTGACTAAGATGTCTCCTACTTATGATAGTAAAAAGTAAACAATAGAAGCCAGACTGTCATACTCAGTTACAATAATAAATGCACAAGGGTAGACACAATTGTTTTGAGAAGGTCATGAGAGTTTGGGCTACTCAGGTAAGTCCCCTAGACTAGCAGAAGTACTAGCTCTACTGGATCTGGAGGCACACCGCAAATGGCTTCTCTAGGAGCCAAGCTCTAACACACCTATCTGTGGGGACCCTGGCCTTGTGATTCTTTGTAGCTAGGCCCTTCTCAAGAGTAGAAAGACCTAGCACACTTGTTTCAATGTATGTCACATCTGGAAAACCATGTTATAGTTTCCTGTGGAAATGCACAAGGCCTCTGTTGAAAATGCTTTGCAATTCTACCCTTTCCCCAAGCTGCTCCTGCTTTCCTCAGTCCAGATGCCTTCCTGAAGACAATGCCAGCAAACAACTTACTTGCTAACCCCATATTAGGCTCTGTTTTCCCAGGATCCCAACTTATGATATCAATATCACATTTCATAATTTGATAACTAGGGGGTATCATTTCTATTCTCACAGTATGTATTGTACATTTATTATGATAATTGTGTCTTGGATTATTTTGAAGTTCAAAACATATATGCTGTACTATCTACTATCTCTTCTCTGCTGACAGAACATACTAGTTCAGATGCTGACTCATGGTCTCTCCTCAGACACATCATTTAAGACCTCATTTATCAAACCAGGAAATTGAGCCCAAACATCAGACTAGAGACCTTTAAAAATCATGTTAAAGCCATACTAATTTAATTTCTGCTACTTTGGTGGTATTTTAAGCTCTATTTTAAGCTGTCACTTTTTAATCTTCCTGATTTTATTTGTTTATTTCAAGATACATGTTGATTCTAGGACCTTGATTCCATCAGCTGAACTAAATATGTTAGATGAAAGAAATGTAATGTTGAAAATGCTGCCAACTAAATAAAATTTTCCAGGATATAAAACAAGTGGACCAAAATTTTTTTTAAATGGACTAAGGAATCCAACAGCTTGTTTTCTGATAACATTCCCTGTGATAGTCACTGATAAATAAAAACAGGACATGAAATGATTATGGATTCAGTCAACATATACTAATGATTTATTGCAATATAAGTTTAACTCTGGGTCTTCATATGGCTAACTGGTGGCACAATACCCAGAATATTGGCCATAAATTGTCAAGAAAAGTGAGCACCTAACCATCTAGCATGTACTTTATAAAAAGAGTAAAAAATAATGTTAAAACAGAAGTGATTCAGAATTTCACTTAAAAAATATGAACTTCACAGTATTTGTTGTAATGCATAGTGTTGTCTTCAAATTAGTTGTTCTTACTACCAGATGCATGCATGCATAATTGGAAGAAGAAAGGAAAAATAGCATAAAAAATAAGAGCAAAAGGAAAAATAATTTTAAAAAGAAGACTCAACAAATCAAGCTTCAACTGCTTCTTTCCATAGACCAGCAGAAATCCACAGTACAGTTGTACAAGCCATCCTGCTTACATACATGGATATATTTCTTTCCCCTACTTTCTCTACTGTCCTCCTCAACACAGTAATTCCTTCTTTCTGAACAAATTCACTCCTTTATCCCAGTATCTATTGTGTCTTTCAGATTTTCTTATCTCTTTCAGGTTCTCATTCTTAGAAAACAATACAATGTTTGCACATGTGGGTCTGATTTATTTCACTTAATAGTATGGTTTCTATTTGAATCCATTTCCCATTAAAAGCCTCCAATTTATGCTTTTTATAGCTGAATAGCATTCCATTGTGTAAAAATACCACATTTTTATCTATTCCTCAGTTGATGAGCCTTTGTGTTGCTTCCAAGGTTTAGCTATGACAAATTGCAGTGCTACAAACCTCAGTGCACATATATTACTGTGGTGTGATGTTTTCAGTTCTTTTGGGAAAATACCTGGGAGGGCAATAGCTGGCTTGAACAGGGCCACCAATCCCAGCTTTTTGAGGAATCTCCACACTGATTTCCACAGTGATGATTCCACCAGTCTACGCAGCCATCAATAGCGGAGGAGGGTTCCTTTTTTCCCCACAGTTCCTCTAGCATTTGTTATTCTGACTTCTTGATGTTGGTCATGCTTCTTGGGGTGAGATGGAATCACAGCATTGTTTTAATTTGAATATCTTGAATAACTAATGATGTGGAGCATTTTTGATATATTTATTTGCTATATTTATCTCTTCAAATGAGAAGTATAAATTTATCTCAGATACACGTTTTTGGATTGGGTCTCTGAATTTGGGGCCCTCATTTTGTTGATTCATTATATGCTCTGGATAGAAGGCCTTTGTCAGAGGGACAGTTGGCTATAATTTTTTCTCAGTTCATAGGTTTTCATTTTACTCTGTTGGAGATTACTTTTGAAGTGCAGAAAATTTTGAAAAGATGAGATCCCAGTGGTTGATTCTTTGAAGTATTTCCTGCGCAGTTCTGTTTTTGTTCATGAACTTTCTATCCGTATATCTTTAAGTATTTCTACTTACATTTTCCTCCAGGAGATTTAGTGTTTCTGTTTTAATATTTAAAACTTTGATCCATTTTGACTGTAGTTTAATGTATGGTGATAGACATGGGTCTAATTTTAACTTTTAGAATTTGGAAAGCCAGTTTTCTCCAGCACCATTTATTAAAGAGGCCATCTTTAATCCAGTGAACATGTTTGACCCCTTTGTCAAAGATAAGGTGGCTGTATGAGGTTGTTGTTTCTACATCTTCTAATCTGTTCCATTGATCGCTAAGTCTGTTTTTTGCCAATACCCTGCTGATTTATATCACAGACTGTTTGCAATACAATTTCAAGTCAGGGATGGCAATACCTCCTGCCTTTTCTTCATTATGTAGTGTTGCCTTTTGCTATTCTAAGTCTCTTCTGGTTCCAGATGAATTTTAGTGTTTTCTCTAGCTCTGTGAGGTGTACTAATGACGTTTTAATCAGATTGAATTGTATCTGTGTAACAATTTTGGGAGTATGGTCATTTTCACAGTGTTCATTCTTCCTATCCAGAAACAAGGAATATTGTTCCATTTTCTGAAATCCTCTTCCATCTAGTTTCTCTCAGAGTACTGTAACTTTTATATTTATAAATGTCTTACTTCCTTTGTGAGATTGATTCCTAAGTATTTATTTACTTATTTATTTGGATGTTACTTTGAAAAATGTGTTTTCTCTAGTTTTTCTATCAGTGTCTTCATTGTTTGTGTACAAAAATGCTGATAATTTTTGAGTGTTGACTTCGCTACTGAACTTGGATATTAAATCTACAAAACTGTTGAAGATTTTGGGGCCATCTATGTAGAATATCATGTCATCTGCAAATAATGATAATCTCACTTCTTTTCCAATCATTATTTCTTTCATTTGTCTCTCCTGTCTAATTGCTCTGGAGAATTCTTTAGAACTATATTGAACAAGAGTGGGCATCCTTATGTTGTTCCTGATTTTAAAGTGAAGTCTTTCCTATGTTTGAAGTGATTTAGCAGATATTGGATACAGGCTTGTCACAGATGGATTTTATCAGGTTGAGATAAAGGCTGTCTCTTCTGATTTTCTGTAGGGTTTTTATCATGAATGAGTATTGGACTTTGTGAAAAGCTTTTTGTGGATCTATTGAGATGATCATGTTTTTTTTTTTTTTTTTTTTTGATATACTTGGCTCTGTTGATGTGGTGTACTACATTTACG